AGATACTGAACAGATAAACACATGACATGTTGATGTTGGTAAAAACACGACAAAAAATAAAGCGGAATGAGGGGGCGGAACACACTGGCAGTGGTGCTGTGGGCGCGAGGCTCTTTTATGGGCGCGGAGGATGCTTGAGCAGAGACCAAGAAAAAGGGAGGGAGGTGCTGGGCCTTAGGGATGTCTGAGGGAAAGGCAGTTCAGAGAGCAGAACTGGCAAGTGCAAAGGTCCTGGGGTCAGTGAGGGCCTGGGCTATGTGAGGAGCAGCCAGGAGGCTGGGTGACGGCCAACACAGCTTTAGGAAATGAGGCCCAAAGAGGGGCCGCATGGCTTCAGATTTCACTCTCAGGGAGACGTGCGGTGCGACTAGGCAGAACACTAAAACAGAAGCCAGTCTGTGCATCCCACAGCCCGTCACGGCCCTGTGTGCAAAGCAGACATCATCCTGGGGGAGAGAGTAGCATCAGTGAAACTGCACGGAGATTGTGAGTGAGGCACCCGGATTCAGTGGAATATTCTAGATTGTGCTGTCCAGTACAGTAGCCACAGGACACATGTGGCTACTTCAATTTAAATGTAGTTATAATTTTAGAAAGTGTCAAGTTCAGTTCCTGGGTCACGGTGCCTATATTTCAAGTGCCAGCAGCCAGACCACATTGGACGGCCTTGCTCTAGAAGCTGGCGTGTCCTGAATCCAGAACGTCGGCATTTTCCTTTGCGCCTGTGTACCACGGGGCTGGCTTTTAACCTTGAAATGGCATGTGAGTGCGTGCGTGCGTGTGCGTGTGCATGTGTGTGTGTGTTGGGGGTGCCTCATGAGTTGTACCAGGCTGAGGTCAGCACCAGGGATATTCGGGGTTAACTGGTTAATCAAGCAGGGCTGGGGAGGGCCTTGGTTAGGGAAGGGGGAGGCTGTGAGGGAGACGTGAGGTCACCTTCATCGACCGCCGAGGGCTGCAGACCCAAGAGGTGAGCAGCTCCGCGGGCTCCTTGCGGGAGGGAAGAGTGGTGAGTCCTCGGAGCTCTTCCCCAGGAGCCCCCAGGTGCTCCAGCCCCAGGCACCTGCAGCCTGGGTGGTGACCCGAAGTCTCACGAGTCCGAAGTTACTCTGTTGTCACCCTGAGCAAAGCGAGGCACAGCCAGCCTGGCCCACCCACCCTGGTGCGCGCAGGGAAGTCTGTGGCCGGTGCCCAGTGAGGTCGTCGCTGCTGTCCACAGGCTCAGGTGGGCATGCTCGCGAGAGTGCAGGCTCACCCGCCAGGCACGCGCACAGACAGCACTGTGCTCCGTTACGTGAAAATGCAGGAGATGTGGTCCTCAGTCGGCAGACAGCAAGGAGGCCAAGAGAATTCAGAAGGTGGAAGGCAGGGGACGACCTCGCTAGCTGTCTGGAGAAGATCCCTCCCTGCCCGCTGCAGGGACAAGCTGGAATCCGGCCAGAGCTCAGTGTGTCGGCGGCCTGGCTTCTCTGTGCAAGGCTGTAGGCAGGACTGAAAACGGGTCTTGGTGGAACGTGGCCGACCAAGCCTGGGTGACAAGGCCAGCGGGGACCTCATTGACCCCATCAACTCACTCTCTGCACGTCTTCACTCTGCTTCAGCCACCCAGTTCTCTGCTTTTGCTTTTCCTCAAGCACACCAAACACACTCTTGCCCCAGGGCCTTTGCACTGGCTGTCACCTCTGTAATTAGAACACTTCCTCTAAGAGTCTTGTGTTCATCCCCCCAGGGAAAGCCCCCTAAGGGAAGTCCTCCTGCTAACAAGACCCACGCACACACAGTTTGCGTTCCTCCGCGTGCTAGTGCTTCCAACAGAAAATAGAGACGGGCCACTGAGAATCGCCTGTCATGAAAGGAAAACCATCAGCTCGAAAGGCAGACATTAGACAAGTACAAGCAAAGATGCTGGGCAGACACTGAGACAGTTTGGGGAACAGAAGAGAATTTCCAGAACGTATACCATGCCTCATATCCTCGGTGTGATCAGAGAAGATAATAGCATCCGTGGAAGAGCACTGAAGGGGCTCTTGAAAATTAATAATTATTGCAAAAAAAAAATGACAACGGTAACGTTGACGCACACAGGGAGTTAGAGGAAAGAACTGGCACGTGGCTGGGAGTCAAGGGTCACCAGGCAGGATAACAGGATTTCTGGAGGGAGCAGAAAAAGAGAAGAGGAGATGAACAGAGATGGTTCAAGATGGTGCCACTGAGTGGGACCCCCGGGTTCTCAGCACGACCTGTGAGAACACGCCCACGGCAAGGATGGGCGTCCCGAGAGCTCGGGCCTCCTAGAATGGAAATGAAAATGCAATTCTAAAAGTTTCAGGAGAGAAAAATCAAGTTCTATATGAGGATCGGGCTCAGGCCTTTCAGCAGCCGTGCGGGAAGCTCACTCTCCGTGGACTCGGTGGTTCCTTCGGAACTCGGAGGGAAGAGCCTCCCGAACCCGTATTCTAACAAATCAACGTGAGGCTGTTCCGAAGGCATCTTCAGACATGCATGTTCTCAAAATATGCCCTCTTGTGCTCCCTTCCCGTGAAGCTGCTGGAGGTGAGCTCCACCCAGACGGGGGGTGAGCTGGGGGCAGGAAGCCCCTGACTCGGCGGGAGGGCCCTGGCACCGGGAGAAGCCGGCTGGGGCCTGGGAGGGTGGACGGCTCCGGGAGGGTTGTGATTCAGGCACAAAGGAAACAGAGACAGGTTGCTGAGGTGTTTGCACCTCACGAGAAGAGACCTGCACTCCGCAATTCACTGGTGATAAGTTAGTTACAGGTAAACATAACAGGCAGATTTTAAAATGTGGCCATTCTTCACTCAGGGGCATAGAACCAGTCGCCTGCGTGTCTTGCTGGGCATAAGATGTAGACAGCCGTAACGGTATAAACCGGAGTGATGATTTAACCGGAGCCCGGGATGCGACCGCGTGGGGCAGTGTGAAGAATGAACGAACCCTCGTCTTCCCTGGCGGGAATTCAACAAGTAATATTTAAACAGAAGGAAATCAAGACGGATCGTCAGACGTGTGCTATTTAGAAATAAAAGGCAAACACCTGAAAAAGCGGCTCGGCGTGGAATGTGGGGGATGCAGGGGTGTGGATGGGGCGGGGCAGCTCCCGCCCAGGGCAGAACGATCTGACTTTGTAAACCATCCGTCCAGATGTACGGCACTGATAAAGGTAGAAATTTGATTTCATTTTTTTAAGAGAAAATCTTCAGTAGCACCTCTTCCCCTCCTTGCCATAATCCGGCAGCACAAGGCTGCAAACCAGACTGCGTTTCGGGGTCAGGGCGCCACGGTGGCCAGGGCTCACTGCCCCTCTGGCCCAGGCTCCCCCTCCTGCCGCCTCCACCCCAGCGCCCAGAAGGCGTTTGCACCTGCTCATCCGCGCGCGTCTGCTGTGCCCCAGATCTGGACCCGCTGTCATCGCTTCCTGTGCGAGAGCAGCTCCAGTCTCCTCCTGGGTCTCGGCCTGCTTAGCGGCCTGGCCCAAACCCCAGTTCTCAGAGGACAAGCCTGGCATCCAAGCCGCCCGAAGGCATCAGAGCGGGTGGTGGCGTCCCGACGAGTTCCCTGCGCCTGGGCCCCAAGGTGCCCCCCAGCCACGGCCACGCTTCCCTCGTCAGCCTCATCTACGCAGGAGTGCCTCGGCCGCTGTCCCTGCTGCTGTTCTGCCCCCAGCAGGGGACGTCAGCCCCCTTAGACTCAGAAAAACTCCTTAAACACGCTGGTGACTGAGCACCGTCTTCTCAGCGACGTGACGACGTCCAGCGGGTGACAACTTGCCCCACCCCCACCACCTTTGCCAGGCAGACTCCTGCTCAGACACCCTCTAAGCCAAAATGCTTCTGCTGCAGGAGGTGTCTCGTTTGGTTCCCATGTTTATGACTTAATGTGTACGTTTTATTTATTATATTAGAATGCAGTGGTTCATGTGTAAGTCTCCCAAGTTGAACTATAAGGTGCCCTGAGAGGACTGTGTCTTCCAGCATTGCTCTCCTGGTCCCCGGCACCAGGCCCGGAGCCCTCACGAACTGGGGTTTGAGTGAACAGCCCCTGGGCACAGGGCCCTGCTGGTCACACAGCCCCTTGTAGTTTCTCATGCTGGCCACCAGGTGGCAGTGTTAATCTGGTGCAGCTGGGTGCAGTGCGTGTAAACCAGGTACAACCTGTGCTTGGCGTGCAGTATTTACGGAGCAGCTGTTTCTAACCTGAAGTATCTGTCCCTGATTTTAAATCCTCAAGTCGTTCACCAGCGAGAAGTGACGTAGAAATGACCCTGTGTTGGTCTGCTCGGTCGTGCCATGGTCTGGATGTGGCTGGTTTGCCCCCACCTGAGCTCACGCTGAAGCTCGATCCCAGTGTGGCGGTGTTGGCAGGTGTCTGGGTCGCAGGGACGGGTCCCTCGTGACTGGCGTGTGTCCTTCTCCCAGGAGAGGGCGAGTTCCCATGAGAATCGGCCGTCACAAAGCCAGGACGCCCCTTGGATCTGGTCCCTGTTCACACTTGTCTACTTCCCCTTTGACCTTCTCTGCCATGGTGTGACAGCACAAAAGCCCTCGCCAGAAGCCAGGGTTGTGCCCTGAATGTCATAGCCTGCCGAACCGTGAGCCAAATAATCCTCTTTTCTTTATAAATTTCTCAGTCTCAGGTATCCTGTTAGAGCAACGCAAAGTGGCCCACGTCAGGCTGGCAGAGCACAGTGCCACAGGCTGGGTGGCTTAGACGACAGACGCTTGTCTCTCACAGTTCTGGAGGCTGGAGGTGCAAGAGTAAGGCTCTGGCTGATTCAGTTTCTCGTGAGGGCCGCTTCTAGCTTCCCCCTGTGTCCTCACGGGGCGGAGAAAGAGAGAACAAGCTGTCCGATGTCTGTTCTTAAAGGGACACTAATCCCAGCATGAGGCTCCACCCGCATGACCTCGTCTAACCCTAATTACTCCCCAAGGTCCCATCTCCAAATGCCACTGCATTGGGGGTTAGAGCTGCAACACGTGAATTTGGTGGGGGCCACGCAGACATTCGGTCCCAGCAGACCCAGACAGCAAGTCGGAGATGCCTCAGCCCGCGTGCGAATGGGTTTCTCAGTTTACTGTAACACGTCTGTTAGCTGCAGTTTCACAGTATTTCACTTTCAACGTGCGACCTGCAGTCACCCTTGAGATGTAGTGCTGGGAGCGGTAGTGTGTGCGTCAGTCCCCGAGCTCGTGCTGTCTAGTTCAGGAGGAAGCATCCTGCAGCTTTTTAGAACCCAGGGAGGGGAGAGAACTCATGTTTATTGGGTATCCTCTCTGCACAGATAGGGGACTAAATGCTTTGCTGGTACAACATGGCCCTTGAATGCTCCGTATATTTAAATACGTGAGTCAGTTTCACAGATCCTTTGGTGAGACGGGATTGACATTTGGGGCTCTCGGTCTCCAAACTTGTATGCCGTCGGCCCCTCTGCCTCCGGGGAGGGGTTCAAGCCATGGCGCTCTCCGCCTGCCCACCAGAACGAATGCAGCTCCAGGCCGCTGTCGTGACATTCCCGCCAGGTAGCACGTGCGGGGACTCAGCTCACATTTGGTGGCTGAAGGATGGGAGTGCCTGGTGACCCTGCTTGGTGCTGGTTCATTTAAGTTGCTGTTTGTCAACCGTTTTGCCCTCTCCCCCCGTGGAGTTTTCACGCCCCAGATTTGCGGTAAAACTCTGTGTACTGGCTGCATAGCTGGGTTTTGTGCATGAAAAGAATCAAACACCCCTCCCTCCAAGAACCAATTTTCACCTTATCTGGGGGGAGGTGATATCGACCCCTTTGAGGACGGCTGCAGGTGTTTGTGCTTTCCGCTCTTGGACACAGCCCAGTTTAGGTGTAATGGAGCCACTTCTAGTGGGACCATCAGAGAGGAAAAAGGAAAGTCAGGGAACAGGAGAGCAGGGAGTGTGTGTGTTTCCTGGGGCTGTCGTATCACGTGACCACAACTGGGCAGACAAAAATGGTAGAAGTTCATTCTTTCGTGGTGCTGGCGGCCGGTGTCTGACATCGGGGTGTTGGCAGGGCTGCGTCCCTGCTGGAAACGGGGCAAATCCATTGCTGTCTCTTCCCACCGCGGGTGGTGGCTGGCAGCAGTCTCGGCGTGGCTTGGCTCGTGGCCACGTCACACCCGTCTCCGGTGCCCTTGCACCTGCCCAGCCCCGTGGTCGCATCACCTTCCCTTCTGTGTCAAGTCGCCCTCTTGTAGGGACACCAGTGTTTGCATTTAGGGCCCACTCAGATAATCCAGAATCATCTTCCCATCTCAAGATCTTTAACTTCATGGTGTCTTTTTTGCCAATGTGAGGTCACGTGTTCACAGGGTCCAGGGATTCGGACCTGATGTCTTTCAGGGGCCATTATTCTGTCAGCCACAAGATAAAGAGTATCTCAGCAGAGTAGAGCTTCTGGGTGAGACTGTGCCTCCCCCGGCCCATCCCAGGGAGGGGAATGAGGGGTGAGAAGTTCTGTGGGGTCAGGGAGGCCCAGGTCAGCAAGTCCCCAAGGCGTCGTGCTGTCGGATGGAGAACCGAGCTCAGGAGAGGCCCTGCCGGGCGTGCCACCTGCAGCACCGGCGCGTACACCTCGAGAGCCGCCTTTCCGGCTGCAGTACACCAGACCCTGAGAAGTTGCCAGCTAAACCCAGAGCCAGGCAAGGAAAACCGGAAAGAACAGCCTGGTCCCCATCGTGTTATTTAGGGAAAAGAAAACTGCTGGGGTCTGTTAGGTCTCCACTTGGACGGTCTCTCCGGCCATCTACCCCCCTCTGTCCCTGCTGCCACCTCTGCAGTCCTGGTGCCCTGAGCGTCTCTCCTGGATCAGCCGCCAGCTGCGCTCCTGGTGCCTGCGGCTGGCACCTTTCTGGATCACCACGGGGTCCCCTTGCTCCCTGCAGCCCCCGGCCGAGAAGGGCCCTCAGAGCGTGGCCGTCCTCACGTTTCCTCCCTGCCCTGCCGGGTGGTCTGGCGCTGGCCCGTTGCGTTTTGTACTCCCCGTGCCCTCTGCCTGGAGCTCCTGTCACCCAGCCGCCCAGGGGAGCAGCCTGCCACACGCTGCTCTTGCCCCCCGGGGCCTTTGTCTCGCCAACGGATGGTGTTTCCAAAGGGCAGGGACCTCCCGTGGGTCACCATGTTCCTTGGGACTGACCCTGCCTAGGCGGCCATCAGTAATGTCTACTTATTGGTTAAATTTTGGTGAGCAAAATGATACATGTACGGATTTCTGTACATCTTCTGATGGCCTCTGTGCCCTGAGCCTTTTGTTCCAGTGACCCCTTCAGTTGACTTGTGTGCAAGTTTTAGGAACATGTCCTTTCTTGTCAGGGAGGGACACGAAGCGTGTCTGCTTTCGTCCGCTCATTCAGTGTATTTAACCTCAGACCGTCCCCTCCGGGCTCGGAGATGTGCCCAGGTCACCCCCACTCGCGCACACGCGGTGCCGGCCCCACGGAGAGCCCTTTCTGCGTCCTGTTCTCACCCTCACCTCTTGTCATGTGCTGCTGCGCACCCCTGTCCTCCGCCGACTGACCGATTCTGGATCAGTCCAACTTGTCCCCTCGGAAGTCGGGGTTGGGCAGAGACTGAGCCTGAAGGTGCGTTGCCGCCATGCTGCGGAGAGCCGGAGGCAGCCGCGACCCTGCAGGGGCAGGGACTGTGGGGGGGCGAGCCAGAGGAAAAAGAGTGAGAAGGTGACATGGACCGACCCGGAGAGAATGGGATGGGTAGACAGATCACATGCATCGGTGCACATGCACATGGTACACGCGTGCACACACGTGCACAGGCACACAGAGTAGCCCCGGAGGCCCTCTGGCATCTGAGAGGCCACGTACCCTGTGCTAGGTTTTTATGAGATTCCCCTCAAAATGCTGCCTTTTTGATCGAGCCCATCAGAGCGGGTTTGTGTTCTTCGACACACAGGCAATTGCCGAGTAAACAGGGACAACGGCAGGGCTCCACCCAGACCAGATATTTTCTCTCCGAGGTCAGCCTTTTTTCTGTATGTTCTGCCCCTCAAGAAAAGTTAATATGTATATATGTAAAATATAAAGTGCTCAGAAAGATGGAAGTAGCTACCGTTACTTTCGATGCGTAGAATACGTGCAATACGGCGGCGGCTCCTCGCAGCTCTGGAGCACTTGCGAGGCCAGGCCCTGCTGAGCGCTCGGCGCGCACGGTCGCCAGTTGATGAAAGGTAGATGTCTTCTCCATTTACAGATGAGGAGATGGCACTTGGGGCAGGTCACGAGGTCATTGTCATGCCAGGTTTCAGGTCTGTCTGACCACACGGAAGGTCTCTGCAGGACGGCTCCGGGGCACCTGTGCCAGGCACAGCACAGAGGGGACCCCTGTACCGCTGGGTCCTCAGGAGGTTGTCGGATCTGGGAGACGCCAGGAGCCGATGATGACGCAGTCACCTGTCCCCCATCTGAAGGCCATCTCGGGGAGGGTCTCACTGGGGCACTCCGACCCTGCAGTACCCAGCAAGGTCAGCCCGGGACGCATCAGCGAGAGGGTTTGGGGTTTTGTTTTGGACATTTTCCTTATTGCCACACGACCTTGGACTTTCAAAGAATTTCTGTGTTCCCCACTGCTCTTCTCCTTGGGGGACCTGTTCTGCCCTCTCCTTTGAGTTTCGAGAGCACCTGTGCGTCGCTGTTCCGCGACTCTTCAGCTTTCCCTCCAGACACAAGCAGTATCGATCCTGTGACTTTATGAGAACCACAGTCCCTCTGCGCAGCGGCTGAGCTTGTCCGGGGCTGGCAAGGGGCATGTTCCGAGTCCACGCAGAGAACCGGGTAGAGGTAGGATGGATGTGTGTGACAAATGGTACAAATCCCAGCCTTCCAATTTAAAAAAAGCAGTAGCCGGCAGCACTGTTTCAGAAAAGGTCACACCAGGTGGGAAATCTCAGGGAAGGGAGCTGAGCAGCCAGTTGCAAGGAGGAAGGATGCTCCTGCCAGGACCCTGGCACTGAGGACTGTGGTCGACACCGAGTACTTTGCCCACCATTTGGGGTGTTCAGATGGTTCCCCTTGGTCAGTCTCTGGCCTTTCCTTAGGAGGGCCGTCGGGCACCCCGGGGGGGCACGTGGGCCGGGGTCCGGGAGGCCAGGCTGCCCCGGGCCCTCTGTGAACCGGATCCCTCGGTGCAGAGTGTGGGTTTCAGTTGCTGACGTGGTTATCAGAGGCCAAACGCCTGTCAACAAAATAGAGAAATCAGTAGCCAGAATGAACACACGGTCTTACTTCTTTTGCCTGTTGCTTTGAAAGTATTTGGTTTTAGGACTGTGATTCTTCTTCATGTATTTTTTTTTTAATGTTTTGAGAATAAGCCCCAGAGAGTTGGCATTTAACAAATGATATTTACTCAAGAGAGAGAAATCTCGGCAGCTGTGACGTGAATAAGGCCAAAGTGACTGCAGTCAGCGCGAGACCTCAGCCGCTGGGATCTAGGGGCGGCACCCACCGCACTCGAGCCGGTGCCGCTGGGCTGGGTGGAGGCGAGAGGTGCTTCCCGCTGGACATGGAGCCCAGGCCGTCTGCGATGGGCGCCGCCAAAGCCGCGCTCTGTTGGGAACAGCTCACAGTACGGGGGGCGGTTTAAGGTGCTTGGTAACATTACAAAGACAGAACTCGGGGCAAAGATTCGTTCTGCTTTTCAAAACCTGGAGTTTGACAACATTCCCAAGCTGCCTTCTCTTGGAGGAGGCCTTTCCGGTCTTGGAAAGTGTCTGTTAGTTAGGACAGAGCCTGTTTTGTTCGTCTGCTCATGAAAGTCGGCCCCCAGCTCGGGGCCGGGCACATAGGGGGTGTGTTTGGTGATGAAGTAAATAAATAAAAGCTTAGGATCCAGGGTCAGGGAAGAGGTCATGTCCAGACAGAATAGAATTGGCTGTGGTTTTAGGAGGTTTTCGGGTGTTGGAAAGATCAGCGTGACTCACAGTGAGTGACCTCCTGAGATGGATTCCAGATAGCTCAGCAGGGCCTTGAACCTAGCGGCCTGGCGGTCACTCTTGCTTTCACCGCTAGCT